TTTTTTTTTTTACTTAATAAATTTCCCTTAATTTAACAACCATCATATTTTTCTTTTTTTTTTTTGCGTGTTCCATCTTCAATGGACTCGTGTATTTTTTTTCCCTTTCAAAAATCAATTTCCCTAGTTTATAAGGTACAGGCAACGGCCTTGTATAAGGTCATCCCTGATCTATATGGTTATGTGATAACTGTCACGAGTTTTTGGTGTACATCTACTATCAACGACTCAACGGACATCAACTTTAATATTATTAATTTTATATATATTTTTTTAATTGTTGTAATATACAAAAGTCAATTTCTTTCTATTAAAATCCTACTGTGGTCCGACCATACATTGTCTCGCCCAGTAGGTTGGCGACCCTTTTCTTGTTAATTTTTCAATGCGCCATGAAAGTTACAAATTTTTTGTTGCGGCCAATTAATTAGACTTTTTTTTATATTTGTAACCTTTCGAAGGTACCACAGTGGAACAGTGAATGCTCAACTAAGCACTCAGGAAACGGGCCGAAAGCTCGCAGGAATTAGTCCAGCCCTCGGATCACTTTCCAACGATAATCTACAAGTTTCCCAAACGCTAGTACTCAGCTCTGATAATTCAGTAAACGAATCAACTGACATTCAAGTGATTGATCATGAAATAGTAGACGTTACCGTTAATTCTCAATCAAAAACTAGTTTTTATGTCATAGAGTATCTCTCTTGAATAACTTTACTGAGCAATTATATGTAAAAATTAATTTTAAGTCATTTTTTTTGATTCTTAGAAGAGTTTTTTACCTTCCACATCTGATATTAATATTCATACTAATACTCTTGATATTTTATTAACTAACAATAATAATTGTAAATTTTTAATTTTGGGAGACCACAATCTTCCTAGAATATTAATGGCACCATTGTTCCCAGCTTATCACACTTGAGTGGTCTTGAATCTAATATCTTAGCTAACTTATTTTATATAAACCTAATTCAATATAATTTAATTTATAACCGTTTGGATCACTACTTGATCTTGTTTTTTCTAATATTTATAATTAATGCATGATTCTATGTACCACCCTGCTTTGAAAATTGAATTAGCTATTTCTCCTGTAGAATGTTTATCTTACTCTGAACAATTTTATGATTTTTTTAATTATAACTATGATAATATCAGTTCCAATATTGCTTCGTTAGACTGGAATATTTAATGGTCTTAATATAAATGAGGCAGTCAAAGTTTTTTTGATAATATATTTATAATAATTAATAATTTCTGTCCACTAAAAACTATACATTCAAGTTAACACCCTCTGTGGTTTTGCAGTAACTTAAAAAAATTAATATATAACAAAAAAATTGCTCATAAAATTTAAATATAATTCCCAACTCAGATAAATTATAATAAATTTTCTAATCTACGTGCTCAATGTAAATTACAAAACAATACTGATCATACAAATTATATAATAAAAACACAAAACTCAGTTACTAGTAACCCTGAACTATTTTGGAAATTTATTAAAAATAAACTTTCTAACGACTTACTTCCCAGCTCTTTGTTGTATAATGATAAAATTATTTCTGATGGTGAAGATTTAACAAATTGTTTCGCTAAATATTTTTCAGATAATTTTGATCGTTCATTAAACTCACATAATATATTATAAATTCATAGTACACCTTTTATTGATCTAAATACATGTATACTAACATTTAGTGATGTTTATACTACACTTTGTGAAATAATTAAAAAAACTTATTCCGGTCCTGATTACATTTCAAATATATTTATTACGCAATGCAAATTTGTTTTTTCCAGTTCCTTTATTATATCTATATAATAAACCTTAGATGTTGGTATTATTCCTAACTACTAGAAAACTTCTTATATTTCTCCTGTTTATAAAAATGGGGACACAAACATTGTAAATAACTATCGTCCAATTTCAATTATATCTATCATACCAAAAATCTTTAAAAGCATTGTTTATAAAAAAGTATTTCCACTATTAAAATGTGCAATGATTGAGGAACAACATGGATTTATGCCTAGTTGGACTACTACTACCAATCTCCTGATATTTCAACAGTATATAATGGATGTATTTAATTTAAATTCTCAAGTTGATGTCATATATACTGATTATTCAAAAGCTTTTGACAAAGTTTATCATAGCATACTTGCTACCAAATTATACCATTTAGGGCTTCTTAATCATTTTTACTCTTGGCTTATTATATCTTTTCTATCCGATAGAAAACAGTATGTAAAATTAAAAAATTTAAATATTTAAATGCTTTTTCATATGATGTTACTTCTAGTGTGCCTCAAGGGTCTCACTTATCTACCCTTCTTTTTAATATCTTTGTTAATGATTTTTGCCCTATCAATTCAAACGTTCTACTTTTTGCTGATGACGTTAAATTGTTTTGTATTATTCGGAATTCAGAAGATTATCTTCAGGAAGATCTTAATTATCTTAATAATTTGTGCAACTTAAACAAATTACCTTTAAATGTGTCAAAATGTAAAGTAATTACTTTCTCTAGAAAGCGATCTTCATTACTTCATAATATTAACTGTATTGAGTTAGTCCGTGTTGATCGTGTCAAAGATCTAAGAGTTAATTTCGATCCCACTCTCTCTTTTTACGAACATTATATTTACATGAAAAATAAAGCTTTCTCAATGTTAGGATTGATAATTCGTAGCTGTAAAGATTTTGATAACCCACTTGCTCTTAATTCACTATACTGTGCATTTATTCGGCCTGTGTTTGATTACTACTCTGTAGTATGGTCTCCTTATATTAATGGTCCTATTAAATCTATCCAAAATAATTTTTTAAGAATACTATGTCATAAATGCAATATCCTACGTCCTACCCATTCATCGTATCAACCAATACTATTACAATTTAAGCTTGACTCCTTAAAAGATAGAAGGGTTAAACTTGATATACTTTATTTTTAAATTAATAAATGGTTTTATTGACTGTCCAACTTTATTATCTAGATTAATGTTTGTAGTCCCCAGCCATACAACCAGGCAAACAGATACTTTTTATACTCCATTCCAGCGAACTACATAATAATAATTTCCTTTTAATAAGAAGAATGCGACTTGTAAATACTCATAATGTTGATATTTTTATTTGTAATTCTGTTATCTCTTTTAATGTATACTTAAATAATTTATTACGTTAATTTATTGTACCATACTCATAATACTAAATCATTGTGCTTATCTGTAGGCTATGTAAAATTGTTATTGGGCATCGCCCGTTTGAAATTATAATAAATAAATAAGACTTCAGGTTTCATTGTTATATACTGCAGATCATTGCATTCATATGATTCGCGTAACTTGGTGTAATTTAATGTAAGTACTATGGATGACTATATTATTTAATAAGATAATTCACTAATAATACAAATCGATTGTTCTTATTTAATTATTTAGTTTTCTTTATTAATTAAATTTAAAAAAAGCGGAGTTAGTCCTTAGCTCGAAAGTAGATTACCTTCGAGCTAACAAAAAAAAATACATTTTTATTTAAAAAATTTTAAATAAATTTGAAAAGATTTTGTTAATTAGTATTTTTCCCTATCATAAGTCGCACGGCATAGTTTTATCCCCATTTTTATTTTGGTTTGAATTTCTTAAAACAGCCTAAGCGGTAACAAATTGCATTATTAGTTTTTAAAGAATAGTTTGGTAATCATTTAAATTCATGCATGTTTGTTTTCTTAGTGGTCAAATTTAATCTTTTTTACTTGTTATCATAGAAGTAATTAAACTTGTCTTTAGTTTATTTTCGATCCAACTGTTTTCTATCAAATTTACCCTATATACAGTCCACTAAAAAATATATAAAATAATTTGAACATTTCACCAGTGCTAAATATTGATTTTACTAGTTATATTGAATACAATTGTTCAATTGGAATTATAGTTTGACTTCAATCAAACGATTAAATTTTAATACTCATTTGGTCTATCAGTTAATGTAGTGCGTCTCTCAACTTCTCATTCTCAAGATGTCAGAAGATTAAAATGGACTAAACTATATGATTTATTGTAAATATATATTAATTAATGTAAATTTTACTAGTATATAAGTTTGGAGACTCTTCATTGAAAGTTTAC